CTTAATAAAATTAAAATTTCACCAACAACATTAGTCCTGGTCTTGTAGATTAGTTTGGCAGTTTTAAGAATTTAAAGAGGTTTCACATAATGTTGTATGTGATTGCCTCCTGATATTTTGGTGTTGTATATTTGCTATGTTTGGACCAAATTCTCAGTGCTTAACTTTTGGAATTTAGTTTTGTAGTTCTAGATTATGTGGGATGCAAAGATGTTAGAAATCCATGTTTTGTCAGAGGAATGCAAATTTAATAAATAAAAAAACAAAAAAAAACAAAACAAAAGGCTAAAAACATCCCCTGCCGCTTGAAAATAATCAAACAGAAATAAACACAGACAGAGTAACTTAAGGTAAAATGTAAAAGTGCTGAATATAACAAGTAGAACAAAAATTAAAAAGCCTAATGAGTCAGAACCTACCTAACATATCATCAGAATAAATCTGGCTAAAGACTCTTTAGCCAGATTTATTCTGATGATCTGTTGGGTAAAACCTAGATAGGTAGGTTCTGGCTCATTAGGCGTGTGTGTGTGTGTGTATATATATATATATATATATATATATATATATAATCTCAAAAAAAAAAAAAAGTATATCCAACTCACTTTCGTTTTTAGGCATTGAATTGTATCGCCTCATGTCCAAAAACTTAACTGACCTTTCCGCTAACCTTATGAATATTCATGAACAGTTTTATTCTCCAAAATTTTGAAAAAAATAACGTTTTTGCTCTAGTATATAAATACTTGACACAAAATAAAAACCTTATGTTTGCTTTGATAAAGATGTTTTAATCTTAGGTGACACGTTTTGTCCTCTGAGAGACTTTAAAAATAATTGTAAATAGTTACAATATCTCCTCTCAGAAACATTTCTGAGAATAGGTATTGTAACTATTTACACTATTTCCTCAAGGACACATGGCCCAGTGGATAAAAGTGTTGGTCATGTGATCCAAAAGTGACTCTATCCAGAGCATTGTGAGTTCAATACCTGGCAACAGCAGAGGAGACGAAATTGAGTTACCAGTTAACTGAAATGAAATATTCAGAAGCATGGCATGTGGAATTAGAACAATGTACTCGCATGGACTAAAAGGGTTCAGTTCAAAATTACACCTAATATCACTTAAAGAAATCTGAAGCATACAACTGAAATGTTGTGAATATATATTATAAATTGATTTATTTAAAATGTTTTTTTTTTTGCTACACAATTCTAACCATGTTTCAAAAATGGAAGCTAAAAGCTACGAATTTAATTTTGTAATTAAATTAAAGACATTAGTTCCATTTCATTCTCAAGCGAATTTTGGAGTAACTTTTAAAATTACTCTGTTTTAAAGACACAGTTAAAATCATAATTCACGTTTTCAAGGTTACAGATAAATCTACTTCAACTAGACAAGGGGTGTCTGGGTGTTCATTATGTCTGTATTTTGATGTATCCATTATTAGTTACGTTTTGGTAAGGGGTAGGGGTGTATTTTTCAATGAAATCTGACATCCGTTGAATGTATGTCGTCTAAATTTACATTGAGCACTATTTTGTAAAAATAAAAATGTCTATAAGAACACCGGATTATATATCTTACTGTTCTTTCTTTTTATAATATATATATATATATATAAAATGTAATACACACATGTGAAAGAATGAAGCATTAATGTGTTTATGTAGACAAGAATTTTTTGAGCATTATTTATAATGTTCTTGAAAGCAAATGATTCTCAGTTGACAACTTGTTTCTCTCAACCACTTTTGTTTTCAACTGAACTCATACTGCATATGTACTTATCTATTATCATCATTATTATTATATTTCATTTTTGTCTGTTCCTAGACTGTGTGGGTGTGAGATAACGATTAAATCTCTGAGAAGGTGAGAAAGTAGATTGCATACATGATGGGTGGGTGGGGGTAGATGAAATGTCTGTAGAAGAGAGAAGAATGAGAGTTTAAGTGAAGGGGAGGAATCGGTAAATACACATTGTTCTCAAGAGAACACGAAAGTCTCCAAGAAATGTTCCCTCCTCAAAAAGATTGCATAAATGTTTACTTACAAAATCTGAAGTAAGCCTTTTTATATAAATATTCCAATTTTGAATTTTTGCTATTAAGCCAATAACTAAAAGCTTGTTTATACGGTGAATGATATTAAAAATGAGTATTGTTGATGTGATTATATAATTGATGTTTGTGCAGGTAGCATAACATTTATTAGTGCATAAAGTGAAATCCATAAAGCCATTATTTACACTATTTACATTCAGGCTATTCATCTCATATTTGTTATTACGTTTCGCCTGTTGTTGTACCCTCTGGCCTTCATCAGGTTTATATTGATCCGAATAACTCAAAATTACTGTCACCCAATTCACAAACACATTAATCCACTAGGCTATTTTCCCGTAACTACTTCTGTAGATTAAATAAAGGTTTCAGTTCAGAATTCTTTGCAGGTTACCCGGATTGATATACACCTGATAAAGGGCACAATGGCCAAAATATAACAACAAAGATAAGGACAATAATTTGAATGTAAATAGCTTAAATAACATCTCATTCCAGAAATTGAGACAGAACTTGCTGAGACCTATCCAAATTCCTGTTGATTCGGTTTTGTTCCCTTTGTTCTAATGACTTCATAAAGCATAAATCCATTTTTCTCCAGCTATGGGTTAAATAGCAGGACAGATTGGACTCTCTTGCCTTAGGTGTTGACCAGTTTAGGAGAGCTGAGTAGGGCTGTGGGTAGACTTGTGACACATTGTGTAACATTTCACTGTTATTTCTGTTGAAAAGTGTGGCTGTTTTCTATACCAGCCTTCTTACCACTTATAATCAAATCATTTGTGCAGATAGATCAGTTCTAAATTGAAATGTGCTGCACTCATATTTCAAAATTGACTAGAATGATCACTATGTAATTGGGAAGAATTTGTTTATCTTTTTTATATAAAACTTGCAAATTTGGTATGCCTACCTATTGGAGTTGGAAGGTTTTAACATAAAAAAAAAAATCTTATAAGGAAATGAAGTATTTGCTTTTATTTTATTTTAAAAGAATTTTATGAAAATATATTTTATAGTAACAATTACTGCCTGTAACCATTTTGCCAAATCATCCCATTTTTGCCTTTTATTTCCAATTTGCGTTGATATGAACAAAAATTGGCAAAGACCTTGTGTACGGTTATAAGAAAATGAAAAGTGAAAATATGGCTGGAGCAAGACCTGAATACTTGAATCAAGTTTTCATGATATTTGGTTCCATATTCAGTGACAATCTTTGAGTTGGACTGAGCACTCTCTTTGGCGGTATATAGGTGAAATTTAGGTTCCTTCGCCTCTTCAACTGTACACTCTAACAACGGCTCTTCTATATAAGCCTACAACTGGAACTATCCACCTTCCAGCCAAGTAACACTTGATCCCCAAAATTTTTATCTGTATCCCTCCTCCATTCAAACTTATAGACAGCACCTAGTTACTTTTAGTGTCTCTTTATATTTGTGTGTGTGCATATGTATATAAAATGTGGTGAGATATTTTGCTCTATAGACAGGCTTGATACTGGATCAAATTTTTCCTGAAAAAATAAAATTGATTTGAGTCAGTATTTATTCTCTTCAGCAAAATGATGCCATTTTGATGTTATTTTATTAAGTTATATTGTAGAAAAGAAATTTTTATTTTTTTTCTTAATCATTTCATCCTTAAGAAGAAAATCATCAATGGCAATACAAACTGGCTAAGACTAAAGTATATGGCCTCTGGGTCGTCTACCGGAAATACAGGCAGGGACACCTACCCATGCATGATGTGGCACTACAGATGCCCTGATATTATGCAATTGTTGACCAGAACAGCCTCTCTAAGCATTACCAAATAGTTTGGGCTTTTTACTTCCAGTCAGATGCAGCAACCAGAAAAATGTCAACCTGCTACCCTCATAATGAAATTGCAGCCACTGATCAATCAGATCACCAAAAAGTTAGGACAGTTAAATTATTATGACTGTGGATGTGAGAACCGGTAAACCATATCCTAAACAGTAAACAAGAGAGAACTCTACTACTGTTTGATAAACATGAAAGGAGTTTAAATGTTTGCTTCTGTTTTCCAGATAATATTTCAAGGACATCACTGATACAGTATCTGAGATTGAACTGATGTTCTTTTGTTTTCAGTTCAATGCTTTAACCATTGACCTATCACTTGGGTTGGGATACTTCACTTAACAAAAATGAAGTAGTTTTATGAAAGAACTGATATGTTCTCTGCTAGATGAAGCACATCATTGATTTAAGTGTAGGTTCTCTAAATGTCCTCATATTTATAAATAAACCTTTTCTCTGGCGTAAAGGAAATAAATTAAAATGTAAATTCAATGTTAGACTTAAAAAATTCTATTTGAAAAACTGGTTTCAGACTTCAGATTCTTTTTGATTGATTTTTTTTTTTTTTTTTTTTCAGCCATCAACCCTTTGTAAGAAAATTATTTTTAGATATTAAGAATTTTTTGGGAGATAATAGTGATACAAGTCTTACTAATTAACCTATAACTTTGAAGTGGTGAGATGTGGATTCATACCTTTATCAAAATTTGATTAACAAAACAAAGGGATCAATTCTATATTACAATCAATATATAAATTGATCCCTCACTTTGTGATCACTGTAGTTTCTATGTTTATATTCCAAAGAATGTAAATAAATCTAAAAGACCTGTCTGTATAGCTAATCAGTATTTTATTGATTGATTCATTTTATGACTTATCAACCCACTGCAGGTTATTTAAAGCCAGATTTTTTTTTTTTTAGATAATGCTTTAGTGATACAAGTCTTAATAATTAACCCATATCTAGGGGAAGAAGTGAGTTCATACTTTTCCCAAGGTTATTTTTGTGCAAGTGAATATAATGAATCCAATGGGAACTGGAACTTGGTTCTCCAATTAACAATTCTGATCCATCATCCATTACAACATTCAATCTTACAGCAACTGGTATTCTCAAGCGGTCACCCATCTAGGTACTGACCTGGTGCAATGTTGCTTAACTTTGATGATTGTATGGGAACTGATGTTTCAGCATGATGTGGCTGTAAGCTGTTAGATTTGGAGTACAACCATGCATTTATGGGAAATACAAAAACCTCTTTTTTTTTTTTTTTTTTATTTAAAAAAAGAAAGAAAAAACCAAAAAAAAAACCCAATAAACTGTTAATCTACTCAAACATCTAGCCTTTGTTCTATTTTTCAAAAAATCTCAATCATGTGGTAATCCATTTTTGTCTTTGCCTTAAATACCCACCCAGCAACAGGCAACTGCTATATGTCAGCTGTGGATTTCACTTCCCCCTTATAAGGTGACAACTTGTTGCTAGATACCCCCCCCCCACTCATTGACCTAGTCAGACTCTGTTCAAGAAAGCTAATTAAAAAAAAAAAAAAAAAATCCCACTAAACTTTCTGTAATCAATTTTACATGATTTGTCCTGTAGTCTGCTTTTATGGAAAATTATAATTTCTTATGCTTTGATAAAATTGTATTTCTGAAGTAAATGTGTGGGTATCCTTATTTGAATTTAATTTTTAGCAGGTTTAATTAAAAAAAAAAAAAAAAATTTGAATGGTTACCTGCCTTGACGACTTTCTTTGCACGTTCTTACCTGCTTCAGTCATTTTCCTTTTCATCAAACTTCCTGGTTTCATGTTTTCAATGTTAATGAAAAATTGATACAATATATATTTGATTATTGACAATATGGCGAAAAAGAAAGAAAGAAAGAAAAACAACAATGCTGAGAACAAGATTTACTGTTACTTTAATTGGCTGTGTAGCTGATGGGCACATTCTTTTTTATAAGAGCTTTTATACACAGCTTTTTTTTTTTTTTTTTTTAGCATTTGATAATTTTAGCTGAGTCTGGTCATGTTTATTAGATTATCAAGTTTGAACCTTATTTCATGCTTAAAATATAACTGCATGATCCCCCCCCCCACCATGTTCATCCTGATGAGGCCTGAGAGACACTCTAGGTAGAGAGAGAGTAATATTCATATTCCATTGGTGAGATATATGTTCCACTTGAGCATCTTCTCATAAACTGTTGCTTTGTGTAGCCAACTCGTGTGAGGATGCTTCTCGATCATTACAATTTTGGCTTGTTCAAGCCTAGAGTCAACCATTATCTTCCCCACATATCCTCATAAACTATGCCTCTTACTCTGTAAGCCTCTTGGGCCTTGTACAGGATGAATGTCATTGTAAAAAAAAAAAAAAAAAGCAGTTACATAATAAACAGGGTTAATGAATTTAGTTAAGTGTCTATTTTGGTACAAGCAAAACCTCATGAAACTGATGTACAATAAAAGATTGTATTTGAATACTTCTTAAATTTCTGATACTCATGAGAGATAAAGTTTTTGTTGTTATTAAGGTAATGAGATTCCAACTTGAAGTAAATTTTTGGTATTATGTTATGAGTCATTGGTAAAAGTACAATTGGTTATTGTCATGTGTGCCTGTTACATAGATATTCAAGGTTTGCTTGAATCTTACTTGCTTCAATGTATATAGATGCATCTAGAAACTCCAAAACTTGACCAAAGACTTAATAAGAGAAATTGTTTGAGGTGTGTTAATTAAAAGTATGTGTTAACAGTTGCTAGAAATTTTAATTTAACATTTTCATTTTCTTTTAATTTCAGGTAAGTTCCAAGCTGGTCAATTTGCTGTGCAGGTAGGATTTGGCAGAGAAACACATTCTTCTACAATTTTTTGTAACCAAAGTTTAACAAACATACCTGAGGAGGGGTGGGACTTTGTCAAAGGTTTTTTTTTCTGTTGACATCACTATTACTCTTTTGGCAATTTAAAAAAAAAAAAAAATCTTTAGAATTTTATTAGTTTCATGTGTTTATTTTGGCTTCATATGTTTATATGAAACCAAACTAAACACCTGAAACTACATTTTGATTTTTTTCCCAAGAATTGATAATAGAATTAAACACTATTTTATTAGATTGTAAGAAAAAAAAGTTGACCAACTGCAATGCTATATTTATTTACCATATGATAAAGAAATTTCTGTGAAAACAATGTTTTTATTCATAGACTTATAAAAATGACTGAACAAGAGAACAACAAATTTAAATAAGCATGTAACTAGTAACTAAAATAACAAGTGTTTGGGGGGGCATGCATGGGGGGGTATTTCTGTCATTTGCTCTCACCATATAAATTTACTACAATCAGTTTCAAGCATCATTTGGATTTAGGCTTTTTTTTTTTTTTCTCCTCTCCTAAGAATTGACACTGAAAATATCAAACACAATTAGATTGTTCATTTACAAGGATAATCATGTGTGTTGCCAATTCTCCAGATAAAATCTCCTTAAAATAATAAAAATTACTGAGGGAGTATACAGTAATGATGGTGTCAAGAGAAAAACTGTCCTTTTGACAATTTTTTTTTGCAGGTACATTTGTTAAACTTTGCTTTTATTTTTTAATTATTTTTTTTTCCCATTTTATTGTTGTTAATTTGTTAACTGCATGTTTTTTTTTTTGTCTGTCAAGGGTGAAGAAAAATCCCTAAAATATGCTTAATTAATATTTGCTTAAGTATCAATTAATGAGTTTATTTTATATCTTGGCGTTTCTTCATTGATTATCTCCAAGCTGCGGCTCTTTCATTTCATATTTCCATTTTAAACTTTTTCCCCTCTTGTCTATTTACCTGCCAGGCATTTTTCTCCCTTTTTAAGTGGATTTCTTTTCAGAGCATAAAAGTCAACATTTGTTGTTATAAAATGAATATATTGGCTATTGTTAAATTTTATTTTCTCGCCAGCTTAACTGGACTGTCATGTCTTTCAGTATGAGTCTTGAAAATGTCTCTATTGCAAGCAAGGTTACTTGGCATTGATCAGGCTGTGTATATAGGGAGATATAATAGTTTTTTTTTTTTTTTTTTTTTTTTTTTTTTTACTTACACAAATACCTTCTATGGTTTCTTTCAAGGATAATATTTCTCTCTCTCCCCGCCCCCTTTGTGGTAGCTCAAAAAAATAAAATGCGGTGTATAAACTTAATGATACTGCTATCAGTTGTGGTTAATGTTGGTATCACCGGTCATTGTCTGGTATGTGAATAGGATAGGATATAAAAAAAAAAAAAAAAACCCCCAACTAGGAGCTAATGCACTGGACAAAGGATTTTTGTGTCTCTATTTTTTTTTTTTTTTTTTTTTTTTAAATCACATACTGATGTCAAAACCAAGGATGACTGGTCATAGGACAGCTTATAAGGAGAATTCATTTATCATTATCATCTTCAGTCATATGACCAGGTTTGGTCATATGGTTGCTACACATTTGAGCACCAGACGTGTTGTCTTTGTTGAAAGCCAGCGGGGGAGGTGTATCATTTATGCATCTGGTGTGTCTTTGGCAAGTAAACTTGCCAAAGACCATCCCCCCTCCCCAGGTCAGACCCACAGTTGATATCCTCCAACTTGAAGGCTCACCTTGGTCAAAAGACACTGTTGATTACATTGGTGTGGGGAACTGTCTACCTTGACTGTTGACTTCAGTCTAGCCCTTAAAAAATCACTACCTGTGTACACAACTATGGAGTCTTATCTACCTCATTGTGCTAGGTGATTCTTGACCCCCCCCCCACCATTCAAGAAGGTTCATCTGCTCTTTGACAGGTTTTGTTTTTAGTTTTTCTAGGTGTCTAATCACTTTCCTCATCAAAAAAATCTGGTGAGGGGAACTGCTTTAGTCACTGACCTAATCGTACAGGAGGTTGGGCTGGGTTACACAGTACCGGTAGCACATAGTGACCTGACATAGAAATATATGTAATATGACAGTGATATTAACAGCTGTGACCATTATTTGATCTTTAACTGCTATCTGTGGACTTTCTTCAATAATCACAGAAGTTTTTGTGTAGGATTTAGAAATGATTTTATTTTTTAATTATATTAAGTTTCCCTTTTTAATAAATTCTATGAAGAAATTGCATAATATTCATTGGTAGAACTGGTTCTTGCAAGAAGAATTTCTGTGAGTGAATAATTTCATAGGAATTTCTGTCATAGATAGGTTTATTGGTATCTATTCCCCCCTCTTTTTTGTTCTAGATCCCCCCTCTCAATATCAGCGACTTTTAGAAGTACATGAATAGAAAAAAATTGTATGTATGGTATTTGGTGTTTATTGGTATATAAGAAGTACTTATCACCGTCTATTCTTTATCTAACATTGTGGTATACCAGTGACAAGACAAATTCACTTGACTTTCAATGAGATGCAACATATTTGTTTTTTTTCTATGGTCTTCATACAATAAGTACCTCTGACCAAAATGCAAACTCTGAGCAACTCAGGAATCTCCTAAAATAGATGACCAAAAACAAGATCTTTTATCTGTAATCCTAAATCCTAAATGGATTACCATAAAAAGTCTTGTAGGCATTCATGTTCTCAGGAGGAGAATTTCTTTGGAATTTGGTCACTTATTTTTACGTTGATCATAAATAAGTTTTATGACATGTTAATGATGGAGTTGTATTCAGTATTACTTAATGTCTTTATCATGATTCTAGTACAACGCTGGAGACATTATCATCATAAATGTGTTTTTTCTCTATCATAAATGTTGCTCATAGAACATTAGATGCTTCATCTTTACAATTTACAATCAGATGTTTGCTTTCTTTACTTCTCTTTCATGAAATCCTGTTTAAATTTGTAAACACTGAAACATCAATTGATCATTGTTAATAAAATATTAGTAATTATGTAATCCAGGATTAATTTGTAGAATAAACCTCACTAATCTATCAGTTACCACCTTATTTCATCCATCTTCACCTGTTAAATTCTCAAGAGAAGTTAGAAAAGAAAAAAAAAAGTTTGCTGAAATACAGATGAAAATTTAATGGCATTCAGGTAAAATAACATCTTGTTAAAAAAAAAAAAAAAAAAAATTTTTTTTTCTAGATTTGACACTTAAAAAATGAAAACTGTTTTGTTTTACCTATCCATTGCAAGGGTATTTTGCATTGCCCGGAATATGAGTAGTAAAT